ATATGTATACAAAAATTTTGAATGGCTCGAACACATATTAGCTATTAGAGCATTTGGTAATCACTTTTGCATTTCCTTTCTGCTTTCAAAGTAAGCTCCAAAAATCCAAATTCTGCGTTTATTTAGCACTCTAAAGACATCATTGCTTTTAGCTTTGTCCGGGGCCTCGGGAATACTTCACGCGATTTCAGTCGCCACGTGATCTGGCAGTTTGCCAGATTTCTTCAAATCCAACGGTGGCAGGCTATCAATGCATGGCGTGTATGATTTCTGTGAAATGATAAAATGCCCCATCTTCTGTACATTTCCAATACCCTTAGAATAAGTTATAGGCAGTTGGAGTATCGCCAAATCGCATCGCGACTGAAATCGCATGAAGTAGCCCGATGCCTAAATGGAAGGATACTTGGTCGAAGTGGAGCTTCCATAGAAGAAGTAATCTATTTTATATAACATGCAACGGTCATTCCAAATCTGCTTTCGTTGTCTGCAAAGCGCTTCTGGTGAAGGAGTTGCGGAAATTTTTCGATGCAAAAATTTGTAAGCGTCTCTACAATTAAATCATTCACAGCTTTAGTCCTTGAGCTCAAACAGTGCCATAATACTAGGGCGCTTCATGCAACAATAGTGTTCACTCTAATAAACTCGTGCCAGTCATTACTTCCTTTAAAAGCCGAATAGAACCCATTACCTGTTTCTTCACCAAATCATTGAATTTTTGTTTTGTGAAGTTTCCAATACTCCCCTCCCAGAAGCGCTTTACAGATAGAGAAAGCAGATTTGGAATCGGCGTTCTATGCTCTATGAAAAAGTATGCATTTCATATGGAAACAAAACTTCAACCGGATATGCTTCCCTTGTTAGAAATCTCTTAAATCCTAATCAAGATACTAGAAAATCATTTAGTATAGGATAGTTTTCGATCAAGTTGCCTGAAAATTTATCTTCGGATTTTAGTTTCGTCATGTCTGCGATTCCATCATTCAAAAGAGCATCACTAATTAGGAAATCTTTCACAGCTATGCCATCCTGGACTTTTTTGAAAACCAACGTTTTCAAGCAGAGAGCCCAAGCTCCTTCAAACGTTGGAGAAGATGAAAGCCTCTAAAACCAGATGCTTTGTTCCGATAGAAAAGGCTGAAAAAAGCGAAGGATGAAAGTAAGAGACTTCACAAAAAACGTTATGTCAGGAATCTTCGTCGCCCGGTATTTGATGTTCCAATTATTGGTATCAACGAGATAGTCTGCATTAATGCGACTGATAATAGACTGCATCAAACTTCTGAAAACGAATGCTCTAATCGATAATGGGTTAAAGTAAAAAGTTCCTACCCTTCCGTTCCG